TCTCACAGGAGGGCCACTCTCTCTCCAATCTCTCAGTCCTGATCCTCAAGGGAAACTTACACAACACATCCCAGAGACGAGCCTATGAGCTCCATTTCATCAACCTGCTGGATACTAGAGATCAGGGACTAAACATAGACATTGGATTTTTGATACATTATAATCTGCCTGGCAACTGACTCCCCAGCCCAGCCCAGCCCAGCCCAGCCCAGCCCCTGGCTTCTTTACTTTTCATTCCATCCAGGAAGAGCACACACCAACTGCTGCAGCTTCCTGAGCCTGACGAAGGGTTTTTGAACCCAAAAGCTTGCTTAATAACGATTCTCCAACCATTTGGGTTGGTCTAATAAAAGATATCAAATTCACCCAAGGAACCTTGTCTGTACAGAAGTTACACTTTTTTGTGTAATGAAGCCACCAAAAGTGCTCTGAAGCTATAACATAAATGTTCAGGGCTGCAGAGCTCTTTAAAAATGGCAGATTGCATGAAAGGTGAACCCTCATCTAATGTAGTATTAGATGAAGGGGCTCTAGGGCAGAGCACCCTACCTAACTTATGTACAGGTTTGCATTGAAGGTTAATTTAGGGCCATTTTGCCCACATCCCAGGGCCTTTGAGGGGCTGTCACAGGGAGGAGACAGAAAAAGCTCTGTCTCCTCCCTGTGCAGCTGGGCGAGACGGGAGGGAGCCCTGCTAGTGCACATGGACCCTCCTCACCTTCCCCTCCTCTCCCCCCCCCAGCTACCCCTGCTGGGGCCTTAGGGGCCAAGCTTGCAAGGTGGGGGCTGTGTCTCCGCCCCGCCCCCTGCCCCAGCTCTAAGCATGGCAGTGAGGAGGCTGCCACTGTCAAGTAGCTTATCCAGGGGAAGGGCGGGGAAAGGAGCTTCCCCTGGCACATGGGCCCAAGCCAACCCCTCCCAAGACCCCAGCAGGGGTAGTTTGGGGGGTTGCATGGTGAGGGGTCCATCCTCTGCCCCCCCAACCATTGCTGATAGTTGTTGCCAGCTGGCAGGGGGTGGTGGGGCTGGTAGCCTCCTGGGAGGCTGCTGGAGTGCCTCTGTCCACTTGCCAGGTCTGCTGTAGACAGGTTGCAAGCCCCCACCCGCCCCGCAATGACGCTCTATCTATGGCACTTTTGTGTAAAGCACCATAGTCAGAGTGCCTCCCCAACGGGCTGCCTAAACGTCTGCACGCACACCAAGTTGCCCCCTGTGGTTGCTAAAACCCTCCTGGTTCGAGGACTCTTCAGCAAACACTGGGCTTGGGGCTTTGATGTCAGCAGCATCAAAGTGAGGGGCCCAGAGCCTCTTCAGAAAACAGGCATCAGGTGTTACTCAATGCTGAGCAGATACCAAAGGCTCTTCCTAATAGTCTTGTAAGAGTGTAAATAAGAATGGTATCCTCTGAGATCTGCTCAGCACTAAATCTTGAGCTATCATTTCCCCAGTGGAGGCCGATGGCTCTGAAAGTGAATAAAAAAACCTGACACAGGTTGTACCATATACTCAGACCCTGTCTATGTATAAGAGCTGGTCTGACACTGGAGGCCTGGAAGAGGGAAATACAAGGACTTTGGTTCAGTTTGATTCTCTTTAAGCCTTCTAATATTGCCAAATTCCCCAATGCTTTAAAACCAATCTTCTTGGTTCAGCTGAGTATACACAATTAACAACCAACATAGGCTGATCACAAATACATCTGTTCGATGTACAATTTAAATGCCCTACATTCATGCTTAGGTGACCACTACAGAAGCTCAAGTAACAAATACCAACTTCAGTCTTTGTAAATGTGCAGGTCTTTGGCCATTAATCAGAGAGAAAGCAGGGAACATGTATACCTTGAAGACCACGTGATTGTCAACTAGGGTGCTGCAAGCACTCTAGGGTGCTGTGCAATTCTTTCAAAGGTGCCACAGGGTGCCACGTAATGTTAGCACTGATAGATAAATCAGATAAAGATAAAGATAAATCACAAGATAAATCCAGAGATTTCAAATAGGAACCTATCGTGTTGAAAAACGTTCTGACCTGTTGTCTTTCTAAGTTCTTTGCAAGAGAAGAATTGCTCTTGTAATTTTCAATAGTCAAAAAAATACATGAAAAAAAAGCTGACAGTTTCCCCGGGGTGTCTTGAGTCTAACAAGGGGTACCTTGAATCTAAAAAGGTTGAGAAAAACTGCTGTAGACTAACTAAATCAGAGATGCATAGCATTAATCAAATAGCAATAAGATATTTTTTTTCCTGAGCTAGGACATAATAAAAAATAATGAGTCTGGTTCTCAAATGCCATGCTAAGCTATGAAACACTGACATTTACAGAGGCTGACAAATATTCTTTGACACATCCTACGGTCTGGATGCATCTACACAAGATGCTTTAATGTGCATTAGCCTCAGTTAATGTGCATTACAGGCACGTGTCTATATACGTGCACCCTTAATGTGCATTAACTTGGGCTAATCACACCTAAATTTGATACCTGCAAATGAAGGTATCAAATTTAGGTGTGATTAGTTCATGCGCATTAACCCATGTATTGACGTGACCCAGAACGAACTTTAGGGCTGGGTCTGCCCTACCACTAGGGGCTGTCCTGGACCCAGCCACAGGGAATATCCAGGAGCTAAGATGCTGGGCACCTGCCCTGGGACCCTGCTCCCTGGGCCCCACCCCATAGCCCCCACTCTGGGCTTCAAGACTCAAAATAGTGGAAATAGTTTTCCCCTTATATATAGTTTTCCCTTTGTATATAGTTTCCCAATTGTAAGCGGGTTTTTTTATTGTTGGTGGGTGGGCAGGGTGGTGGAGGGGCTCTGTTGGTTGAGGGGGGAGGGGGTTCTGTTGGTTGAGGGGGAAGGGGGAGGGATGGAAATGGGAGTTTTGAGGGGAATAAAGCTTTTTTGTTTTACCCATGTGCATATCCTGAGAGTGGTGTTGGGGGTTGGCAGGGGGTACAGGGTGTGTGGGTGGTGGGGCAGGTGGCCTGGAGCAGGGAGCGCAAGAGGAGAAGGTCAGGCAAGGCCTCCCACAGCCAGTGCCCTGGCCCCTGCTAGTGGGTGCATGGCTGTCCTGAGGCCTGGGCAAGGGAGCAAGGCCTGCTGGGACCAGTAGAACCAGCACCATGGCTATCAGAAGAGTGGCGTGCTCATGCTCACTGGCAGGGGCCAGGCTGGAGCAGCAGGGTGCTGGGCATTGCTGGTAGGGGCAGTGGCAGCTTTGGCATGGGGAGGCAGGATGGGCAAGGAGGGAGCTGCCACATGCTGCCCTGCAATGGACATGCAGCTTCTGGGCAGGGAAGGGGCTGGCCAGGGATCAGAATTTCCCCAGATGGCTGCCAGGTGCTGGCAACTAACTCTGGCTTCAACACAACTGCGAAGTGCTGGCAGCCATGTGACTGGAGGCTGGAGCTCCCCCCAGTGGCCACAGGGTCACAAGGCAGGGCTGCAGGGACTTGGGACTAACTTTAGTGCCAAGTCCCTTCATGGGTAGACACCTGCCAAAATCACTTAATGCACATGGGCTTAATACGCATTAAATTCAGTTGCACTTAAATGTATGTGTAGACATGACCTCTCCATACTAATTTAATCTATGCCATTAGTAGCACTCCTACTCTCTGCAAGTCTGTTCATAGCATCTGACAAAGTAAGCTGTAGTCTAAGAAATCTTATGCCTCTTTGAACAAGGTAGTCTCTGCCACGCTGCCTTGCTAATGTAATCTAAATTAGCTAGCATGTTCTATTTCTAAACCAGGTCATGTTATACATAAGTAAAAGTTAAATCTGTTTCCATGTGCAGATGGCGCTGGGTAACAGGGTAGAAAGATACAGAGGTTACTATTGTACTCCTCATCCCCTGCACCTCAGCGTAACTCCTTGCTGAGGTGCAGATTTTGGTCTTTTCAGGACTTCAAAAGCAGTACATGCAATTAAACCTTAGGGGTATCATGTGTAAAACTGATGTGTGTCCTAATAGTCAACACAGTTGTCAATACCACTGGATCAGCTATTGTGTCCCCAAGATTGTCCTTAAGTCCCATATTTATAACCTTTCCCTCCTCCCACCAATGTCCAGATTGGCTCAGAGAGTTCTTGGGCATAACCTGCCGGCAGATTGCCCACAATACCACAGTAACTGGCACTGGACATGTTTCATGACTGCCACAGTCTACTTCCTAGGGCTAATTACAAATATGTTCCAAGGTCTTTCTAGCTGAGTTGCCTTGTGCTCTGAACACATGCTGAATATTACTGCTAAAATCCAGTCTTCTCCCTGATACTTCTGTCCCTTTATTTGAACTGGGAAAAGTCAAAGGGGGCCGTGTAAAACATGCAGGTTACACCTATGCTCTGTAATCCATTTGCACTATATCCATAGTCTGAGAGGGACACCCAGACTTTCTTTTCCCAAAGGGATATTTATAACAGCAGATGAACATCACAGGTACCCATACAGTGACTGCAAAGCATGTCAACCTTATGGAGTCCCCAGGAGAAGATTCCACACCAGGGGTGATCAATAATGCTTCTGATATTATAAGCACAGGGCATGCTGGGAAAATTCAGCCTAAACCATGTATGTTATTAACTGATCCGATAGACTTATAAATAATTCTTTTGCTTGCACTAAGATTGGAACAAGCCTAAATCTCCTTTATACCACAACATTCAGTTAACTATATCAAAACCAATTTCCCACTGCGATGTTTAATTATCTTTCTCAGTTTCTGGTTGGCCCCAGAACTGGAAGCATTACAATAACTCAAGAGAGACTGTTCTTTGTAATAACTCAGGTTTCTTTGATGGTCAGAAGCATCACAATTACTGTAACAGAGCCTGTTCTTACCTGGCTAAATCCTCATCTTCCACGTATTGCTTTTCAACAGCTAAGGATTTGCCCACAAATTTTTCAATTTACTTGGGTGCTTGTATGAACCAATCATCTGAACTTTTTAATAGGTATCCATCCCTTCTCTTTATTCCTCTCTGCTTTGTGCTAAGTTAAATTAGGACTCAACCTTTGTCTTCCTTATTTTTAGGAAACCAGTGGTTCTGTTTTCTATCTCATCTTGGACGTGGCAGAAACTGAATGCCACGTCCTCAGCAGAAGGTTGTGGAAGAACTGTAAAACCCGACCCCAACATAAAACTGTAAGGACTGTGGTTTTATATTTAAGCACATGTGTAAATGTATGTGTATGCCTCAGCTACCACTGAATGAAGAAAATGTCCTCCACACACATTTCTAGTAAGCAGGAAAATTGTGGGGGGTGGGGGGATATCAATCAAAATACTGTGAAAAAAAATTAAATTATAAATTTCTTTTTGCAGTTTTCAGATCAGGTCATAGAGTAGACAAACATTCGAAAAATTTAAAATTTCAGTATTTTTTTCAACCAGATTCAATTCCCCATTGCTGGCAAATATCCCAGTTAGAGCAGTGGTTATTTTTTTATAGCAAGTCTATAAAGCTTTTTTTTCAACCAGTCTAGCAATAGAGGAATGAAAGAGACTCACCTTATAGAACATGTGATTTGGAGTTTATTTTAATTCTTTTATTATGACAACCTAATACAAAAAGCCCTGAAAGAATAGAAAGAAAAACTACCAGATTTTTCATTAAAAAATCTACATCAAGCAGTTTTAATTTTTTTAATGTAAATCTGAAATGCAAAAAACTAATTAATATGCTGATCAAATATACTAAAAATGTTATTGGCATTAGAAGACACTGAACATAGCCTGGACCATCCACTTTTTATACACCAGAACCTCTCCATTAGGATCCGCCGTGGTCCCATTAGACATTGTTCACCAACAGATTGCAGAAGCTCATGGTACTGATGCCTTGTTCCCACCAGTGGGAATGCTGGGGGTCACTCAGAATCCCTCATGTTTGTTAACATTTAGGCTAACTACAGACAGTCAAAAAGCCCAAGGCTGAATTGATTCAATCTTCACAGGTTAGTCTAAACTGCATAGATTGAACTGATAAGCAAGTGAACAGACATTTACTTTTGATTCCGGAAAAGCAGCCACATGCCTGCCAGGGCTCAGGCCAAAAGCGGTGGTGGGGACAGCGCATGCCTCCCTGCTCAGCTGGAGCAAACAGCTTGGGCCAAGGCTAGCTAGCCCACCCAGTTGTGCAGGGGGAGCAGTGTTGTAGGGGTGGTGCAAAGCATCCTGGGATGCTGGGGGACTGTAAGTTAACTTGAATCTGGAGGAGATCTGGGACAGAAGTTCAGTAAACTGATTTAACCTAAATCAGTTAAGTCCAATACTACATCCATCCAAGTTTACCTTAAACTGGTTTTGGCCATTTTGAAAGCAGTTTACGTGCACTGAATTTCTGTTGTGTTACAAATTTACACGTTACTTCTGTCCCTAGCCTTAAAGCTACAGACAGGATGAACTGACTGTGCCAGAATCACTTATATTCATGAGGTATAAACTGACATGAACTGCATTGTACTTATCCAGGATCTCTTTAGTAGGGTGGAGGCGTTGGCAGTGGGGGGGATTCTTTAGTGCCACAGACCTGAGGCTGGCACTTTTCTGCCACTTTCCTCCCTTACTATCAGACATGGCGGGTCCATGACGCTTACAGTACATATTTGTATTGTTTCAGGTATTTGGGCAGTGCAGAGCAACACTCTACATTAACAACCCCAAGAGAATAGCCCACCTGCATTCCTATGAGTGTACTTTGCGGCCAGGTATGTCATTATTTAACATGCTTATTTTAGTGGCCATTAGGAATGAAGTGTGGCCTTACTTTGGAAAGTAGGCAGGAGGCCATTTGAACATGATTCCGTTACTTTCCTCCATTCATCCAAAGCCCTCACAGTGCTTGACAGGAGGTGGATAAATATTATTAGCCCAGTTTCTCAGCAGGAGAAACTGAAATGCCGAAAGATTTGCAATTGCCCAAGTTCCCATAGCAAGTCAGTAGCAGAGTTAGAAGCGTAACCTGCTGCCTCTCACTTTGGCCACTAGATAGAGTTGTTTCTCTTATTCCTGCATGACAGGACTATTGAATAGTCTGTGTGGTGCCTAGGAGGCTGCAAAAATGAAATGCATGGTTATGGTTTGCAGCATTCATCTTTTGCTAATCAATATGGCTGAAGCTAGCAATGAAACAAAATTCCACAGAAATTACTAGTGTTATTTTATGCTGGTGAGATATTATTCCTAAGCAAGCAGGTGAGACCCTTCAGGCCTTATTCAGGCCAAACTTCCTTTCTTAGGAATCCTATTTTTCACCTTTTCATTTGTCTGTGGGAAAGACAGCAGGGTCTTGTTCCCCTTCTCTCAGCTGGAGCCCCATGGGTAGAAGAGCCATCAGAGATAGTGTCCTATTTTATACTTTGCATATCAGAAATGAGTCCATACCGCTCAAACTTCTGAATTTTGCTGAACTGGATCAGAATTTGCCAAATTGATCCCTATGTCTATAATCAATTGAACCAAAAGTCCAGCTGGTAATTGTTGTGCTTTGAGGCCCTCTCTACGTGAACTAAAAGCCCTGGGCTTGGTTTGTCTTAACTGTTGTGAGAAATGCAAACCACCACTAGCAGGAACCATAGCATTTTATATATGTAGAGTGAGGGGGCATCCCCAAGAGACAGCAAGTGAAGGCTGCCCCACTGTTCACCCGGTGGCTGCCATGAGAAGTCAGATGTAGAGTACAATTGATGCCTCACTGGAGCCACGCGGGTGGAAGCCACCTAACAGACATGCTGAATTGGCACGTCTCCTCAGTGTCCTATCTCTTTGCTGCTTCCTGGCCGGGAACTGCCAGCTTTTAAGGTTTTTTTCCCTCTGGCTCGCTACCAAGCGGATCTCTGACCAGTGGGCCTTTGTGCCACAGCAACCAAAACCCAGGCAATGGGAGGGGAGCCATGCTGAGCCTGCCATGGCAAAAGCCAACAATCTCTAGAGCAGGGGTGGCCAAAATATGACCTGCAGGCCAGATCCAGCCTGCCAGGCCATTTGATCCGGCCCATGGGCCCCCTAAAAAATTTAGAAAATGAATATTTATCTGCCCCTGGCTGCCTGTCAAAGATGTCTATGGAGCCAGGCTGGCTCCCTGCTTGAGCAAAACAGCCCAGCTCCATAGAGCCCCTGGCAGCCCAGACACCGCACTCCTGCAGCCCCACTCTGGGCCCTGCCAGCACTGGTCCTTGTGCACTGGCACAGGCCCCGCATTCCCATCCAGCTGTCACTGTGCTCCACGTACCTGTTCACTACCCTTTCCCCCTGCCTGCTGCAGCCATTTCCCTGCCCACCCCCCACCTCCCTACTCCCCCCGCCAGGCTCTGGCATCACATGATTGCCAGCTGCAACACCAGGACCACAGGAGCAGCTGGGATATGGTGCTAGAGTGGCAGGGGGTGGAGGGGCAGTGGGGAGAGGGAGGGAGGGATGGGGAAGCAGCAGGAGAAGGACAGCAGAGGTAGATGGGGGACAAGTGGCAGCGAACAGGAGCACAGGACCCACACCAGTGCTCTGGGGCCAGGAGTGGCAGGAGCACAGAGCACTGGCAGGGGCTCTGCCTGCTGTGGGGGTGGGGGGGAAGAGGTGGCCCCCCCACACCTGTCCGCCCTGCCCACAAATCTCCCTACAGACACACACCCTCTCACACACCCCACATACCCACAAACCTATACCCACCCTCCCACCCACACCCTCCCACAATATACAAAAGTAAGACTTCATTTTAAGCTATTATATAAACACCTCTGTGTACACTACACAAACACATGTAAATCAGGACAAAAATATTTTTTCGAAATGAAATTAATGAATGTTGTAATACAGGGGTTCTCAATCCCTGGGCTGCATGTTTGATTTTTAGAATAGAATTTGGTACTTTTCTGGTTTACAGATGGCAAAATCCCTTGCTGAAAGGAGTAATTCTGGGGTGCAAGGGGAGGGACTTTTGGTGACAAGGGTCAGGGGCTAGGGGGCAGGACTTCCAGTCCCAAGAAGACAACCAAAGTTGAGGCACCTGCCAAGGGGCACGGCTACCCATGTGGCCCTCGATGACTTGCCAAAACTTGGTAAGGAGCACTCCGCCCAAAATAATTGCCTGCCCCTGCTCTACAATGAATCATGGCCCCCTCCTGTTTGTCTGAGAAGGGCTGATTGGATTTGTGGAGTTTGATCATAGTGGCCATTTATAGACGTTACGTTTTCTAGGTTGAATCCAGACTACAGCTGTCACAATATACATGTGGACATGTATAGTCCGAAATAAAATTGGCTCCAGTCCAAATTAACTAATCCTCACTGAATGGGGATTAAAGTTTCATAGTTTCATATTTGGTAAGGTCAGAAGAGACCTGAGCAGCTCATCAAGTCTGACCCCCTGCCATGGCAGGAAGAAGTACTGGGGTCAAACAACCCCAGCAAGGTGTTCATCTAACCTCCTCTTAAAGACCCCCAGGGTAGGAGCCAGAACCACTTCGCTTAGAAGTTGGCTCCAGATCCTAGCCGCCCTGACAGTGAAGTAGCATCTCCTGATGTCTAGTCTGAATCTACCCTCTGCCAGCTTGTGACTGTTATTTCTAGTCACTCCTGGTAGTGCTCGGGGGAACAGGGACTCCCCCAATGCCTGCTGGTCCCCTCTGACTAGTTTGCAAATGGCCACTAGATCCCCCCTCAGCCTTCTCTTGTGGAGGCTGAACAGGTTCAGGTCCCTTAGCCTCTCCTCATAGGGTCTGCCCTGCTGCCCCCTGATCATGCAGGTGGCCCTCCTCCGGACCCGCTCCATATTGGCCACATCCCTCCTGAAGTGCGGCGCCCAGAACTGGATGCAGTACTCCAACTGCATCCTGACCAGTGCCGCATAGAGGGGGAGGTCACCTCCTTGGACCTGCTCGAGATGCATCTGTGGATGCATGACAAGGTGTGGTTGGCCTTCCTGGCCGTGTCCCCACACTGCTGGCCCATGTTCATTTTGGAATCGATAATGACTCCAAGATCCTTTTCTGCCTCTGTGCTGATGAGAAGGGAGTTCCCCAGCCTGTAGGTATGCTGCTGGTTCTTCCTCCCCAGGTGCAGCACCTGGCACTTGTCAATGTTGAAACCCATCCTGTTCTCATCTGCCCACCCCTGTAACCTGTCCAGGTCTGATTGCAACCTTTTCCTCCCTTCTAGCGTGCCCACTTCCCCCCACATCTTAGTGTCATCAGCAAATTTGAACAGGGTGCTTTTTACCCCCTCATCCAAGTCGCTGATGAAGATGTTGAAAAGCACGGGTCTGAGGACCAAGCCCTGGGGGACCCCACTGCCCACATCCCTCCAGGTCGAAAATGACCCGTCCACCACCACTCTCTGGGTGCGGCCCTCCAGCCAGTTATAGCAACCCATTTGACTGTGTAGGTGTTGATGCCACAGTCCCCTAGTTTTTTAATGAGAATGGGGTGAGACAGTGTCGAAGGCCTACCTGAATTCCAGAAAGACTATGTCCACTGCTACCCCTGTGTCTAAGGATTTTGTGACCTGGTCATAGAAGGCCACCAGGTTGGTCTGACAGGACCTGCCTCTAATGAACACATGTTGGTTGCCCCTAAGCATAACCTCCCCTGCTGGCCCCTCATGGACATGCACCAGGATAATTCTCAAAAATCTTACCCGGGATCGAGATAAGACTAACTGGCCTATAGTTCCCTGGGTCCTCCTTCCTCCCTTTTTTGAAAATGGGAACCACATTGGCCCCTTTCCAGTCCTTTGGCACCACATCAGAGCACCATGAGTGCTCGTAAAGCCATGCCAGGTGTCCCGCAATGACCTCTGCTAAGTTAATGCAGACTAGGGCAGTCCACACTAGGCAATTTAAATTATATTAATTTACATGTATATATGTGTTGCTTTTAGGTAAAATAGTCCTTAGGATCTCAACAGATAAGCATTGCAAGTATCAATCCTGGTAAGGGAAACTCAATTGGGTTTTTGCAACACAACAGAGGCTATCAGGCACAAAGTAACCTTTACAAAATAAAACATGCCAACAACACCTCACTGTAACCAAGTATCAGGATCCTGACTAAGCCCCTAGACCTGCCCAAGCACAAGGGCTACTGATCTGTGAAGAAGGGGGCAAACCCCCTTTCCCCTCTCCCCTACATTGGCTAAGATGGTCTTCAACACTCAGGGCAATTGCACCCATTAGGGCAGAGGTGGGCAAAATGCGGGCTGGGGCCTGATGCAGCCTACCAGGCCATTCTATCCGGCCAGCGGGGACCCTAAAAATTTAGAAAATTAATATTCATCTGCCCTAGGCTGCCTGTCATGCAGCTGTCGATGGCTTGCCAAAACTCAGTAAGCAGCCCTCTGCCCAAAATAATTGCCTGCCCCTGCATTAGGGCTTCTGGAACAGCACTTTAGATAAGGGTCAGTAGGGTTGCAACAATGTAGCAGTGCTTAAATAGGCTTATTATTGCCACCTAATTAATTCCAACCCCAAGTGCTAAGCGCATAAACCCACATACAGAGGCTGCAAATTGGGTCTGTTAATGGGCTGACGGTCAATGATCATCTATTAACCCTTAATTCAAATTGAAATTTAATTTGAACTGTGTGATATGAATCATTTAACATGGTTTAGAAAACACTAAGCACGTCTACAAATGATCAGTGTGTTTGTTCATGTGATATTCCAGGTACTATGTTAATACGTGGGATCTGTAAGGCATCAGGGCTTGAAATCCCTAAGAAGCACATGCATGCACCTCCCCAACATATGACAGCCAATGCTTCTGTCATGTTTTGAGACCTACCTTACCAGCTGGTATCTCTTATTCTCTACCAAGTTCCAACAAGATCCATTCTGATGTTATGCCCTGATTGTCCGATCTTTGGCTGTCCGACTGAGCCAAAGTATCTGGAAACGGCTGTCGTGAGTCTTGCCAAATTCAACAGAGAAAGCACCGAGGCTCATTATTTTTCTGTTCTCAACGTCACCAAGGCTTCAATGCAGGTAAAGCCAAGATTCATACAGCCCCTGGAAATCACTAATACAACTGTGGCATGATTACAATAAGTTGGGCTCAAGCGCCAACAGTTGGTTCTGGATCCTACACATTTTGGGAATGTCTAAACCTGGGGCTTTGATTTGGCTCCAGATTTGCATTCCAAAATTCAAGACTGTTCAGTTTGGGGCATTTGGTTTCAGCCCACCTCTAATGAGGGGCCTTATATAACAAAGTACTTAGTGTAAAAGAGAGAGCTGTCTTTTGAAGTTCACTTATAACTCACTGAATTGGCTTAATCTCCCAGCACAGTGATGTACAGCTATGAAAGTCCTGGCTAAAATCCTTTTGTTTTATCTTTGTTCCCTAACATTAGTTCAACTGGGTAGGATACTTGTCTTCACTCCCTACCTTAAACTTTGTATAGTGTGACTCTGTGCTGTTCAGCTGCTTTCATTTTCCAACTCAGAAGTTGGGATGGATTAAATGAACCCTGTAGATAAATATGTTTGAGGGGCTTAATCACCGTGGGGCTCTTTCATGTAAGGTTCTAGGTAAATGACTGATGCATGAGCAATAGCAGTACTTTAATGGGAATTTCATGTGTACAAGAGGTATGGGCTGGGCAGTTAGGCAGCAAGGAATGAAGAAAATATATTCTCGAACAAACTCCTAAGCCCAACCCTGTTCCCTCTGTAATTAAGGGAAGCTTTGTGTTCATTCCAAAGTGTGCAAGATTGGATGACTCTCCCTATGCCTGAAGAAGGGTGTTTGTACCTGGAAGTTTGCAAAGAACAATTATTCAATGATTCAAGCTATTTAGTTGGTCTAATAAAAGATATTACATTTACCCAAAGAACCTTGTCTGCCAGGATTGGGTAAGAGACCTGTTATCCACTTCCTTTGCAAAGCCTAATAATAATAGCAAACGCTTTTTGTCTCTCCTCAACTCTGACAGTGGGTTGTCGGTCCCGCATACTTTGTAGAGTTTACAATTCAAGAGACGTCCTGCTCCAGAAATGAGTCCATTGCTGATATCTCCAAGTGCAAGCCTCTCCCATTTGAAAAGGCTGTAAGTTGTTCTGCTTGCAAAATTACTTAGCTTTGCAGATATTTGGATTCTGCCTCAAGCATTTTGCCTACCCCTTTCTGTTCTTCTTTGTGTGTGTTATTAAAAGCCGGCTGGAGTCAATGGTATTCTTTCTATTGATTGTAATGGGCATTAAAGCCCAAGCTCTGTATAAGTGTCCACAATACAACAGGGAAAGCTTCCCAGACAAAGTACTGTATCCCTACCAAGAAGTGCATGAACATGGGTAGCAAAGAAAAATACAGTAAGGAGAAAGCAGAGCAGCTAGTGCTTTGCAAAAGTGACCTGTTTCTTGTAAACAGACACAGAAAATGAACCATAAATAATGAATACACAACATGTGTGTGTTCTCCTCAAGAAGTCAAAAATAAGAAACCTTGCGGAATTAGAGAAAGAAAGGTTTTAATTAGCATAGTAGTTAATGATTCAGTTCTCAGAAGCACCAAAACCAGAAATGTGCCTCCACTGCCAGGTATAAACACAGTTGTTCCTATCAGTATTCTAGCATGCTTTCATTCACCAGGATGCAATTAGATTTTTTTTTCTCTGAAACATGATACAACCCTCCTTTATAAGTCTTACACAGACATTTAATAAATGTCTACACAGACATTTTCCCAACATCCCCCCCCATCACCACAGCAGCTCCACACCAGTCATAGCAACGGTGCTAATGTAGCTAGGGCACTGGACGCTGCTTGCATTTTAATTCTCAAGTCACCTAACCCTGCTTAGAAAAGAAAAATCATCCTGGAAACTTGCCTTGCTATGTAACTTTGCTACCCCAGTCCAAAAGTTTGCACTGTACATGTCTTTAAATATATTTGTAGAGCTAAAGCTCTTTGATCTTTCATAATCTTCTATTTTGCAAGCTCAGCATTAAATGCCAGTGTGTTGCAATGCTCATGTGCACTAATGTGACATTCCTTTTTTTTCAGCATACCGGTTTCTGCAAAGGCTCTGTGGTGAACAGCCAAGTTGATCATCATCAGTTTGTCAATATAGATTGTGAAATCTATGAGCCACAGGTATTTCTCAATCTCACTAGGCAAGGTGCCATTATACAGTAAAACGGAAAACTACTGAAAATCTGATAATCCCCCATTATTTTCCTTCACGAGTGAAATGATGTCCAGGAAAATGTTAAGGCCAAATCAGAAGGAAATCTATCTTGTCGGGAGAGTCGTGTGGGGGGAGGGTGGTGGAACAGGGTAATACAATCTAATTTCATGTAGAGCCATTTATGCAAACTGTGAGTGAACATTTTTACAAAGGGTCCAAGAAATAAGCATGATCACAGCATGGGGATAAAGAAGTGAAGAAACAGTGTCATTATCCTGGTTTTGGCAACCATCACCTATGCTAGTGTAAAAGGCAGCTTGAATGTCTATCGTAACTGTTCCCCCCGGTGTAGTTCCAGTATTTGGCCATTGCTTCCTGGACCTGGGGCTGATATTCAATATAAACAAGTCCAAGAGTTTCCTTGCATCAGAGAAACGGGTTTAAGGAACTTAAACATTTTATGTGTGTCTGTTCTTTGCCAATTTAGGTGCCTGCCATTGAGAAGCAGAAGGAGACAGACAGCCATAAAGGTCATGGCGGAGATGGAAGTCATGAAGATCCTCATCACCCCAGAAGGAAAGGGGCCCATCCCCATCAGAAGCACCAGCATAGGCACAAGCAGCATGAAGAAAAGCACCCATCTCCCACTGAAGCTAGTGAGGCAGCCCTCTATCTAGAAAAAACAGTGGGGTGGGTGAAAGTTCTCCCGCCCCAACAAGAACATGTCTCTCTCCACACCTTACCAGAAAGTCCAGTTGAATACATAGATGGGAATCCTGTTCTCCCTGAGGTAGGAAAGCCTGTGCCCGACCTTCCAGATATCCATGGTGCTCCTGATGGGGAAAAGATTCTGACAGAAGGACCAGGAAGGCAGCTGGGCTTGATCAAACCCAAAACTGGCCCAGTCTTTCTCTCTTTCCCTGACGAGCTTTCACATTCGGATACATGCCCAGGAGAACCCACAACTTTAAATTCCTTTATCCTAAATCTGCTGCCCAGGAAACACATCAAAGAATCACCAACTGCAACTCCACTATCATAAGCTGCAGCTAGGCAGCAGAGTTCAGTCTTCCCTATTAAACCTTTCAATAAATAAAATATTCTTTACAGTGATCATCTCTGCAGTCGTCAGCTGAAAGTGAGCACGGGGATTGAGTATGAAGAGAGACTTGATTGTTGCATTTTCCAGCAAGAGAATGGGGGGTAGGGGGAAGCGGGTGGAAGGGGATCAAATTTTGGCTTTACTGTAATGAGCAGTGCGGGAGTAAAAGGCAGCCAGGAGGAGGTAAAATGCAGGGCAGAGACGAAGCATTACTGCCACCCTCGTATTGCACTGGTAGGTAAATGGGGAAGAAGAATGTGGTTTATCAGGTAATGCTAAAAATGCTTTTTCTTTTGAGGGGTTAAACTGAACATTGTGAATAATAATTTGGGGAGAACTTCAAAGTAGTCTAGAAGACATAGAGACCTATCCGTTATTTGCAATGGAAGACTGTCTAAATTGCTTAGGTTGCTCTGAAACTCCCTACCCTAACCTTTTAGATGCTACTTATGTCTATGCTAACTTAAATCCAAGCCTACATCATGCTTGACAACTATCTCTGCAGTAAACCCGTTAGTACAATTTTTTTGGCAGGAGCCCACTGAGCTCACTAGCAGTATAAAGGACCATGTCCTAATACCGAACAAATACTTTCAAGAACACCCTCTCGCTCCATGTTGAATCAATGGTAAAGTAAAAGGCGGCTCTTTGTTTGGTTGTGGTTACCATGTACCAGCTAGTGTGAAGCAGATAAAAGCAATGATGTGCCTTTGAAGTAAATCCTTCCAGGAGGACAAACCCTCAGTTAAACTGGAGTGCATTAGGAATTAAAGTTAAAACAGTCGCATTGCTGTGGAACTAAGAGTCAGGCCAGCAGAGATCTACGGTGCTGGGCAAAGGCAGGAGTGAACACTATCATGAGATAAAAAGGGAAATTTTCTAGATGTTAAGAAGAGACTCCAGTTTCCTCTCTAAAAGCAGCAAGAGACAGGAATAGCTTTGGCAGCAGCAAGAATATTCCTTTCTCACTCCCCTATTCTACATAAACCTGAAATGTCCATACTAGATTGTAGCACAAACCGTACAAGTGATACAAAAGGAGAAGCGGTTGTGATCAGAACAATACTCATAGGAAGACTCCCATAGCAGGGACACAGGTGCCTTCCTCTTTTTCACTCTCTCCGCCCAGTGAACTTTTCTCTGACAGCAGGGTAGATACAGTACGGAGAGGTTGATCTTTAGTGTTTTCACACATAGGACAACAAGAAACACATGCTCTTCTCGATACCATGTCCCATTTCCTTTGAGCCTCTGACATTTTGCAAGATGCAGAAGAACCTGTTGTTGCATCAGTTCGAAAGGAGGAGTTACTGAGCTGAGAGAACTCCATCCTGCATGATCCCTACCTCTCCAAAGATGACATGGAGCTTCAGGAGGTTTTCAGTCCTGAAGTAGGGTGAAAAGAAGAGCAGCTTATTTCTGTTCTCAGTCACCCAGAAGCTTTGTTCCAAACACCCTTTTCCAAATATCATGCTGACAGTTGATTTGCTCTCTTTTTAAAACCCCCTTGACAAAGCTGAAGACTCACAGAAGTAAATATGGAGAAGACATATTATAAGTCATCCAGTCCAACCATCTGAGAGTGCCATTTTATACCAAGGGTATAGGTTGTAGCCATGTTGGTCTAAGGACACAGGCAGACAAGGTTCTTTGGGTAAATCTGATATCTTTTATTAGACCAACTCTAATATCTTTTATACCAAAACACTCAAACATAGTACGTTTGAGTGTTTTGATCAGAGCTGGTTTAGATACTCAAAATCCAAGTCTACTTTTTATGTGGTTTTTAATGTTAAGCTTTTTCATGAGATGAGACCAAACCAAAATCTTCACCAAAGTTTGGTGGAAGTTTGGAGTCCAGAGGGGGCTGGACTCGATGATCTTCCGAAGTTCCTTCCAGCCCTAATGTCTATGAAATGTAATGTCTATGAAAGCTTTGCATGTGGTCTCCTTATTAGACCAAACAAAAATGTTGGATCTATTTACTCCTGGCCTTTGGAGATATTCAGATCCAGATTGGGTCCATATCTGCTCTGAATGAAACTTTGTTATCAAAGGGGATTATAATAACAAGCTTATTTCTTGGCACTAAGGCTGAAAGAGTAATTGAACTAATTGGTTTACCTTATAATACCATAATAGCCAATGAAAAAAGTCAGATCAAGCAAAATGTGTGAATGACAGGATTGGTGAGCTGCCAGAGGTATTCAAGCACTGCTTCTGTAACAGTCTTGGGTACGAGTGCCCAGCATGCTGTACCAACCTGCCTCTGTCCACACACCCCAAACCCAGAAAGGCAGCCGTGAAGCCGCTCTGGGGTTATCTCAGGAAGCTGCTCTCAAGTGTACCAGAGAGGGAAAGGTCTCAAGAGAGCTGGGGGCACGGGGAGCAACTTTCCTGCTGCGGTTCCAAGTTTGGTGCCTATGGCCTTGCAAGGGGGTGGGCTGGGCATGTACAGGAACATCCTTTCTTGAAAACATTGCAGACGCAGTGCAGATATCCCCTAAGGTATATCCCATCTTGGGGGTGACAATCAATGCATTACCCTAAGGGGAGCTCTGCTACCCCTGGCAGCATCTTGGGGCCCACAGCTCCACTTCTTTCTTGTCTTTTTTGGCATGGTCTGCATGCCAGAATGCAGTACCAGGGGCAGCTCAGCAGAGTGTAGGAGGGACTGTAGTTATGGCTGTACTCTGTATTTGAAGAACAAAAACAGAGGAGGCTACTTGTACCCTCACACATACTTGTTCCTTTGGGCTTGGTCCAGCCACAATCCAGTCTGAAATGTTTATTTAAAGGAAACATGCCCATCTCTCAGGGACAACGTACCCATCCAGGCACAGACCAAGGCCAAAGAACTCCAGTGTATCTGATACTGCTGACAAATGCTATCTACGGTTTATCCCTAAACACACAGGCACCAGGAATGCAGAATAAAGCTGGCAGTGGCACTGGGAACCTGCTGTATATGGCATGAGCTATAATGCAGGTACCCCATCACATGCTCATCACCACCAACTTTAAGAGTTCATAAATCAAAGTTCAGCCCCCACAGTTCACCCTCCTGGTTCAGGAGACCAGCTTTAAAATAAAGTCATTTTAAGAAAAGTATATGTTTTGGGTACTTTTCTTTGCCTCTCACATCCAGGCTTTCAGGTGGCAGACACTTCAAGCTCCAATACTTCCTCTGCAACCTTAAGGGCTATACACTTACTTTTTTAAAGTTGAAGCTATACTTCTCAAGAAACCTTGATTCCAGCAGTTTGCATCATAAGGAAAACACCAAATATAATCAAAATTGCAATACAATCACAAACATTGGCCACAGTCTACTGGATAGGTCCACTCCTGTTTATACACTCAAACTTTAAGCACAATGTTACAAAACTAAGCTTCAGAACAACAGAGTTCCTAAAAGCCTCCCCATCCCATAACATCACCCTCTTCCCCAGTTAATTCCCGTGACCTCCAAAATGACCAGGCTAACAGGTGCGTCTTGTGGTATATCCTAAATCATGATACGGTTGGCTCAATGAAGAAAGCAAACACATCAGTGGAAGAAGCAAAGGTATTTTCCAAAATGTCCTCCTGCTAGGCATTGCCAAGCACCAGCACACACTTTTATAGCAAGAAGGTGCTTCCTGGAGTTCCTCAGATGGCCACAATTGTGATTTGACTTCACAGGGAAGAGGGGATGCTCACAAGTAGACAAATGCCATATCATTAGACCCATGTTAGCTTTAGTGATGCCAGCACGGAGGTCTCAACTGGGCAAAGATGAAGCTTCCCCCAAAATCTATACCTGGAGTCTCTGTAAGTAAGCTGCTAGATCTTGTTATGGTCCCGTCTTCTGGACTAAAGAGCCCTCTGCCTTAGACAATCTTCTCTCTGGGTAGGCTCTTGTAGACTGTGAGGAAATCACCTCTTTCATAGTCTTCTTTCCATTAAGCTGAATAGCTTGAGCTGAAGTCACTCACTGTCTGGCAGGTTTTCATGCCTCAGATCATTCTTGTAGCTCTTCTGTGAATCCTTCTCAATGAGTCAATGTTCATCCTGAAGTGTGCACACTGGAAGTGGAGAGAGGATTCCTGCAAGGGTCTCACCAACAATCTACGAAGAGGTCATCTAGTAGGGGTGTGCGAAACAGGCTGTATTCGATTTGGATTCAGCCCAAATCAGGGACAGTGATTCAATTCATTGATTTGGATCACTGTCCCTGATTTGATTCAGCCAAATCAGAATCTGAAGATTCAATGCTGATTCGGAGAATCAGCGATTCGGCCATACACAGCTTTAAATGTTTTTTCTACATACCTCAAGATACCGGGCACGGCTTGTGAAGGCTGTGATGCTGGAGCGGATGGTGTGGATGGAGCATCCCACAGGAGTGCGGCTGGGCGGGGGAAAGGGGGGTCCTGTGTGTTCGGTGGCAAACCCAGAAGTGGACTGGAAGTACTTCTGGTCCACTTCCGGGTCCACCAGGGAGCAAGCTGGGGGGCACCCCATGCTCCCCCAGCTCAGCAATCAGCTGCGGGGGGACCCCGGGTGCGCCCCCATACCCAGGAGGCACCAGTCACTGAGCTGGGGGGGGTAGGGGAGGCCCCCCAGCGCACTCCCCGGTGGACCCAGAAGTGGATGAGAAGCACTTTTGGTCCACTTCTGGGTCTGCTGCCAAGTGCGCAGGGGAGCCCCCCGCACTCCTGTGGGATGCTCCATCTACCTCAGCATCGCAGCATTCACGAGCCGCCTGCTACCTAGAGGTATGTAGAAAAAACATTTAAAGCTGTGTTTGTGTCCGAATCTTTCCGAATCGATTCAGAGGGTTCCATTTCAATTCGGAGAGATTAAAGGGTCTCCTGATTTGATTCGGATTCGGAGATTCAGCCGCCGAATCAGGCCAAATCTCTGCTGAATCAAATCAGGGACCGAAGCTTCACACATCCATATCATCTAGTCTTACTTGCTTATAGATCCATCCAGGGTATTAACCCACCATATTGCAATGTGACCAATGTTTAGCTGGCACCCAAGTCCTTTTGATTCTATTCCAGGATAGAGTCCTTCCTCCCATGAGAGTGACCTACCTTCTTTGTTTCTAGACATATAACCTTGCATTTGCCTATATTAAAAACCCTGTTGTTGGAATGAGCTCAATTTACCAACAATCACTTTATATAATTAACTATCCTGGTCTTTATCTAACATGAGACACTTGGGGTCTGATTATCAGGGGGCTTAGCTCTGGCAGCAGTCCATCATTGCACTCGGAGTTGTGAAGAATCAGCACCTTCACATAGTATGCTCATGATGTCTCAGCTTATATAGCTAAAAACTCATCTGTTTCCTCCATATTTGTAATGCAGTATTATACATCTATCAGAGCCAGAAAAAAAGACAGCCTCTTCCATGGATGGACCCAAGGGCGGCATAATTTGACCTGCTGTCCTCAACATTTACTTGAACTTCATCTAATCATTTACTTTCTATTTGCAGATATGAATCCAGGGTCAAGAGCCTCAGTTATGCAGGAACCATTCGCATATAGAACTATGCCCTTTTAAACATTTATCTGTATCTTCGCATGCAAACTCAAATTACTGGTTGTAGCCCAGCACAGAGCCGAGAAAGTAATCTCAGGTTGAAAACAAAATGGAGTTGTTAGCCAGAGCATTCTTTCTTGCACTGCTGCTCTGCTCCAGTGCCCAAAGCCAAATGACTATAACATCTGCAGACTGTGCTGCTGTGGAAACGGATGCAGGAGTGGCCCTGGATTTGATCAATAAGCACCGCACACACGGCTATCTTTTTAGTCTGTTTCGGGTGACTGATGCCCATGAGCAACATACCGTAAGTATTAATATAAAGGCTGATTTGCATACTACTGTGGTTTAAAAATGATGGGCCGCATCCTCAGCTGTTATAAACTGGTGTTGCTCTATTGCCTTCTGTGGAGTTATGCCAATATAAATCAATGAACATACACTGATTTACACCAGCTGAAGATCTCAGTCTAGATTCACTTTGATGTGGTTTATTATCTGGGAGCCTGATTCTGCAAGATACTGAGTACCTTCCATTCTCATTGACTTCAGTAGCACATAAGGAAAAGAGCCATCCCCTTAACAGCTCTGTAAAATGTCTGAGTTTAATCTGCAATTAGGCAATCAGTCACCAGCTCTATGTATTTTACACTCCTAGAGCTTCTTGCATCTGAGGCTCTCTAGCGCATTAAGTTAATTGACTCAAAGCACCCGTGAGAGGCAGGTTTTATATTATCATCTCCATTTGGAGACAGTGGTGGGAACTGAAGCAAAGAGAAGTGAAATGTGAGCCAGCAAGACAGTAGCAGGGCTGGATACAAAGCCCAGATCAATCAGCTTCTACATCTGTGCCTGAACTACCTGGCCATCATTTCTGCATGCCTGGTTGAAGGTCATAGCAATCAGTGACAGACTAAACCTGGGGTCTAATTCCTTTGCTGTCACCAAGGCTAGGCACAGACATTACACATAAACTGGTTTAAGTGATCAGAAACTGATTTAAACCTGTAACAGAACAGATGTTCAGGGCACATAAACCAGTTTCAAAATGACTGAAACCAGTTTGAGATAACCCTGGTTGAATGTAGTATCAGACTTAACTGATTTGGGCCAAACCAATTTATGCAATGTCTGGCCCAGATCCCTTGCTGGTTTAAGTTAAACCAGAATCCCCCAACATCCCAGCATGCTCTCTGAGCTGGGCGGGGCTTGCTGCTCCACACCAAACCTGGCTCCTCCCCTCCGTTCCCTGGCTGCAGCTCCAGCAGAGACTGCAGGCGTCTGCCTGGCTTCCCCCTGCTCCCCACCCCCCGCTCCCCTCACCACTCTCTGCTAAGGAGGGATCCCCTTCCCCTCTACCTTACACAGACAACTCTCAGCATTAGCTAGCAGACCACATGCTGGCTACAGTCCGTGCTATGGCAGACGGGACAAAGACAGAATCAACAGATAGCTGGTAATGCCCCTCTGTTGTTTTCTTAATGGGGTGATAAACACTGTGTTATCAACTTCCTGCTGGGCAGGTCAGGAGGGAGAGGGGGAACCCCTCCCTAACCAGAGCATCCTGCTGGGGCCTGGTCACACCCACCTCAGCTCAGCACTCGCAAAGGGAAGGGAGAGCTTCTCTAGCACCCCTTGGCTTCTAGCCTGAGCCATTGCAGGCATGTTCCTGCATTTCTGGGATGTCTGTAGGGTTACAAACTGATTCAGCCAAGCCAGGTTAGATTACCCTGAAAATATTGAATCAATTTAGGCTCAGGCTTTTTGAATGTCTGTCTCTAGCCTGGAAGTGTAGCTACTCACCTCAAGTGGAAGAGATTTGTCTGTAGAATGGGCTGGATACAGAACAGAGATACTTAGGTAAGAAAACTAATGTTTTGAGGGATAATGCCCAAAAGGAGGAAAGTGCAACAGCCCCTTCCTCACTCATTGATTCCCTGGATCCTAGAAAAGCCCCTAATAAGAAACTGAGGAAGATCTAGATTGGCTAGGGTGTGGACAGATATTTGGCTGGGGTTGGACAGATATTTGGCTGGGGTGTTATGACCCCGGCACTTGTTCCTGCCCGGGGCAGAGGGTCCAACCTGATGATCTGTTTAGGTCCCTTCCAACCCTAAGCATTAGGAAACTATCTGTTGAGGGAGGTGGGATGGTCACTTGGGGAAAAAAAAAAGATAGCTTTCTTCAGACAAAATTTGACAAACAAATGCACCTTCTGCTCTGTTCTTTTCTTCCAGGGGAATTCGTCATTCCTGTACTTAACTTTGGATGTACTGGAAACTACGTGCTCTGTTTTATCTGGGAAACACTGGGAATCTTGTACATTTCCCGATCTCTATTCATTGGCAAGTAACAGGATTTCTTCAGTGCTGCATGTCAACCATGCCTCAACACAAACACCCAGTTCAAATACAAATCCTTATGCAGAAACCAAGCATTAATACTTGCTTGCATATACTGAGATCTATTACCTTTTTGTAATGACAGAGAAAATTTAATAGACAGGGAAAGGGTCAACCTACCTACCTTGTCAGTTAAATGCAGATTCATACAACCTGTTTGGCAAAACTGGGACTGCACTGTATATCCCACAACTTGTAATTCGTTTGGTTCAGGAACACTAATCGTTCAACGATAATGTACAAGGAGCATAGGGCATGACCCCAGTAAGTTAGGCAGAAAGTTGAAGGGTTACAGTTTGTCAGAGCTCTTTTTCAATGCATCTGTGATGATAATGTGGGAGGCACTGCCAGTGTAAACGCTTGGTCTGTGGTGACATCAATATGCAAATGCCAAGCAGAAATACATTGCCTTTACCTCAGACCCAGATGGTGCAATCTGGGATGAAAGCCAGCTGGCTGAAACTTAATTGAGACAAGGGACTGGTAAGATGGGTCTAATAAGGATAGCATCAAGATTCTGTGTCAGGGTTGGTGCCTGTCCTTTTATTTTGGAGAAAGAAGGTTTTGTTAATGAGCTCTGCAGTTGCTGGATGCTCCTGGCATTGCAGCTACTCCCCAGTGGGTGGAAACATCTTCCAGCCAAGAACAGTTAGAGATAAGCTAGAAAGGCAGCTTTGGTTTTGCAAAACCGTTTCGGTTGTTCAAACCAGAATAAAAACCACGGTTCCTTGGAAAAAAAATCCATTTCTGTAAACCACCAGATTCTAGAGGGGATCAAATTAAAGGTCCTGGTTATGACAACATTTGTTATTCTTCAAGTTACTGTCTATAAAAAAAATAGGGCTAAATTCTGCATTCAGTTATCTGAGTCACTGCCACAAAGTCAATGTGAAAGCCATAGACCCTTTTGAATGTTATTGTGTGCCTTGTTCTAGTGCAGGGGTGGCCAACCTGCAGCACGGGCACCACAAATGGCACAGGGAACCTCTATGTGTGGCGTGAGGCAGATCGAGGAGGGGACAAAGCAGCACAGCAGCAGATAGGGCAGGAAGCAGAAAACAGGACTGGGAGCAGACAGCAGAGCAGCAGATCAAGCAGAGCATAAGTGATAGAAACTGCAAGTGGCACTTAAAGTTTCTACCACTGGAGAGTGGCAATTGGGGACAGTGCGGGGCTAATTTGTGGCAGGCCTGCCAAAAAAAAGTTGCCCCCCTGTTCTAGAGTATTACATAGAGTCAATAATCTTTTTTTTCTTCTTCTCAGGTCTTTGGGCAATGTAAAGTGATCATGTATACAAACAAAGAGTTCAAGAAAAATTGGCTCTATGGGTACAACTGCACTACGAGTTCAGGTAAAATAACCAGCTGAGCAAGTTAGCATATTGCTGATAAGACATTTCCAATGCTGAAACACAAGCAGGTGTGCCACTAATGCACGGTAACTGTGATAGATTAGTTCATCTGTGCATGATTCATATCTGGTTTAGAGCAAAATTGGTGGTAAGAATGAATTTTAAAACTATAAAAGCCCTGAAGTTTTAAAAGCAAACTGTGTCAAATTGATTAAGCTATCAAAACATGGGCATGGAGACCAGGAGAGGAGCTAGATGGGCTTAAGGAGGGGACTTATTTGAGGTGATACAATTTTAAAACAGAACAAAACAATGTAAGAATAGAAATCCACTGAGCTTTGGGGAAGTTCTGTATTTTCAAACAGTAGAAGCCAGCTCATGTGTATGAGATGAAGGGTTGGGTGGGTCCACTACAAGAAGCCTTTCGTGTTTTCATGCTATAACAGATATATGCTAAAGCTATACAGAAGTACATTGCCATCCCTGACAGCGGTAACGTAATAAAACAGTGGTAGACTAGCAACCCTGTTTTCACAGTTCCTTACAAGTTAACCGAGTGCAAAGACTGCCCGGTACGAGCTGAATTTTTAGAAGACATTGAGGCATACAGAGGGGAAGCTGAGCGAGCCTTGGTGAAATACAATGATGAGAGCAACCACATTAAGTACTTCAAGGTGGATAAAGTGGAAAAAGCAATAAGACTGGTAGGTGATGTCCTATCTTCAAACTAACACAGGGCAAAATATTGAGAGGTGCTCAAAAACCACAAGCTTCCAAGGGAGCTAAAGACACCTTGGTTGTTTGTGAACGTGCCACGCAAGCTCATCTTTTATATTTTAAGTCCAGATTCTCCAAATACTTACACGTGCTCTTAGCTTGAAGCAGATGGATAGACCCAAAGTCAACAGGGTTATGCACTGAGAATCACAGTCATACAAAAAAAGGACTGGAAGGGACCTTCAGTGGTCATCTAATCGAGCCCCCAAGACCTTGGCATTAGGGTGCCAGCAAGCTAACCACTAAACTGACTGCAGCAGCAGGTCTAAAGTTAAGTTGTTTGAAGTTATGCAGGCATATACGCATTTGCAAGATCACGGCCTTGTACATGGATTTCCCCTTTGTCAGAGATACATCCTACAGCTGAACAGGATTTAATATTTTAATGCTACATTTTAATATTGATCATCTAATAAAAACCTCCTTTTTGTAAACTTGCACATCAATTAAGATAGGAAACTTGTTGAGTCAAAATGAAAATGTACTCTATTGCCCAGTGATGAACAGCTGGCAATGGGTGATCTGCTCTGCAACATTTCAGTTACTAGCCATGCTGTGATTTCTAGAGCCCCGACCTTTCTCCCATTGATATCAAGGGCCAAATTTGCTCCAGAGTGAGCAAAATTCAAACAGATAATTTTTCAGAAATTGTACAGTTTCTACCACTTATGCGCTGTGTTTCTATTTCCCCTCTAAGAAAAACAAAAATGTAACTATGATGTTCATGTCATTGTACCCCATTGTTTTTGCAATGGAGGAGAGTTTGATTCTGTGCTGTGCAATATAGGGCTGCATCACAAAACCCACACTTCAGGGAGGGGAGTGAACAGGATAGCTTTCAGCCACCTTTGAGCCTTCTCAGATATGGACAGGGCTGATAGGGAAGATTTTTCCCCAGCAAAAGCCAAAGGCCAGATTCTGCCCTTTTCCTCTGTGAGAAACGTCACTGATTTCAGAGTGAAATAATCGAGGTGAAAGAATCTGGTTCTAAAATAGGTCCAGCACTGCTTGGGCTGTGTCTCCTGCCACTGGGTGGGAGTGACTCCACTTCAATGGACCTTGGACTTCTAAGAGGGGTAGCAGCTGTGCGTAGGATGAAGCATCTAGCGATCCCATTTTCTGAAAGCACAATCCCTAGTCAAGGAAAGTATGGACACTGCATGACAGACACAGAAAAAGGCAATCAACCATGCAAGATGACCTGCCATTATAGGAGAGAGAGAATTATATTAAACACTGAATCCGCATGCCTAACTCACTATGGTTGCATGTTCAAGAAGGAAGGTAGTCAACTAGCAAGGTGGGCAGGATCCAGAGTGTACTCCTGTAAGAAACGTTGCTTTCAGAACGGCAAGGTGCATTTTAAATGCTCAAATGGGTGATAACGTGCCCTGCCTCTTTCAGACTGCAGATCATCGAGGACATATCATTGAATTCAGCATAAAAGAGACCAGATGTTCCAAGTCCACATCCCATGTGAATGTATCTGAATGTGATTTTCTAGATGACGCACATGCTGTAAGTAGGGCGGGCACTGAGTGAAAGAGCTTGTGCAAGCTGTGTGAGCAACAAAGACTTCTCACAATATTTCCAGGTGTCTCTGAAAATGATACGCCCAAATCAAAATCCCAGAAACCAGCAACGTTTAATTCCAGCTCTGTATCTGCATTTGTCCTTTTCTTAAAATAAGGAGTTGATCCAGAACCACAAATCCAAAGATGACTAGAGTTGGGAAGATTTCAGAGTTGGATCTCTGTCACTTGGGTTCATGTCTAATTTCTTAATCTGACACGTGTTTTGTAGTTCTACTTATTACTCACTTTGTATTACCCACTTTCACCCACAGACAATGCATTGTTATTTTTCTCAGCAAAAAAAATGTAGGTAAGCTTGAGTTCCATATTTTGAGTGAAATTAGGCAATGCCTCCCCTTGGCCTTGGATGATAAATTTCCAAAATTTCCAATAGATTTCTCCTTCCCTTCCCCCCAGGTAATAGTGAATTAACATGAATCATGAAAAAGAAGCTTTAAAGACTCACACAGAAGGGATGTCCGTACTTACAGCGAAATACCTGGCCTTAATCATTCTTTGTATTTTAAGTATTATTTAGTAGGTAAATACCATTGGCCAATTTTTTCAAATGGGTGCTTAAAGCTAGGTACTAAGTGGCCTGACTGTCAAGCTGCTGTGCAATCAACAGTTTCCAACTACTTCCTCTTTATAAACCCTGAACGTATATTCTTTTTTATTGTGCAGCATGTGGGATTCTGTGAAACAAGGCTGTTGGTCATCACAGAAGGTCCTGAGGCCATCGATATATCCTGTGAAATCTATGACACCCTGGTATGTAATCAGTTATCTCTACCATTACAGAAGGTTCATGTTAACTTGCTAATGCAGACTCCACAGGCTGAACAGAAAGAAGCAATGTCAGTAAATCCACATTGTAGGCAAGAAGCTGGAGCCAAGGAGATGAATGGAAAGGTGATTTTATGCCATTTTTGCACTCCTCCCTAGGCCATTGGGCCAGGCTTGTCCTTTTTTTGATAATTTTTTGGCAGATCTCTGTAGGAAAAATTTTGGCCAGTTGATTTGTTTCATTCATTGGTTTCTTGTTTGGGTAATGCAGATTGGTCACGTGACATCGTATGTTCCTACCCCTCTTCTCTTGTCCCATTTCTAAGAAATTACTGTTACTAAAACTGCAAGAGAAAGCCTTGTAAATAACTCTACTCTTTCTCTCTCTCTCTCCCCCTCCCCTCACCTGCACCTATTTATTCACTATGTTGCATGAAAACCTCGATAACTGCTCTTTACCCTGGTTTGGTTTGGTTATGAAAAGCTTGGCAGACACCCCTTCCTCGACGACCACCACCACTGCTACGGCCATGGATGCAGACATCCCCCTGTAGGTCCATCACAGAGATGTCATCATCAGCACCATCATTTTGGCCGTGGACATCATCACAGACATGTACACCATCCCAGATGCCCACCACCTCCAGGTGGTAATCAGATCCATTCAGAAGGACCTGAGCATCTCCACAATTCCTCTGAAGAAGGACCTGGATGCAGACATCCCCCTGTAGGTCCATCGCAGAGACATCATCATAAACACCATCATTCTGGCCGTGGACATCATCACAGACATGTACAACAACCTAGATGCCCGCCACCTCCAGGTGGTAGTCAGATCCACCCACAAGGACCTGAGCATCTCCACAATTCCTCTGAAGAAGGACCTGGATGCAGACATCCCCCTGCAGGTCCATCACAGAGACGTCATCATAAACACCATCATTCCGGCCATGGACATCATCACAGACATGTACACCGACCTAGAAGCCCACCACCTCCAGATAGTAGTCAGATCCACCCAGAAGGACCTGAGCATCACCACAATTCCTCTGAAGAAGGACCTGGATGCAGACATCCCCCTGCAGGTCCATCACAGAGACGTCATCATAAACACCATCATTCCGGCCATGGACATCATCACAGACATGTACACCGACCTAGAAGCCCACCACCTCCAGATAGTAGTCAGATCCACCCACAAGGACCTGAGCATCTCCACAATTCCTCTGAAGAAGAAGGCCATCACCAACACAGCCCTGGAGGACTACCTCCTCCACTACCTCCCCATGGACCACATGCACTTCCACCACCTCCAGGTGAAGTGACTCCCCCTCCTGTAGGTCCTTATTTTCCTCCTCCACCACATAATACACCACTTCATCCGCCCCTGGAGCCCCCTCCTCATGCCCAGGAGAGGCACTCAAAAGAACATGTTTTCTCCCCCATACCAGGATCTGTCCATCGCATTCCAGTCTTAAATGAGCAAGATTCCCTCCTGCCGCCCATCATAAACTTTCCTGAGCATTCAACAAGGCCCCATGATCCATTAGGCAGAGACCAGGAGTCCTCCTTGCTTGACAGAAGTCCAAATAAGAAGCCATCTCCTCTAGATTTTCCACTGCACCTTTCACAATCACCATCTTGCCCAGGAAAACCCAAGTATGATAAACCCCTGCTTTTGTCTTTATTTCCACCTCGACTTTCCAAGTAAATGGCTTCACCCTTAACGGATAGGATTATTCTGAGCCCTTAGTTGCTGTAAACTGACATAGCCCTAATGAGATGTTATACTTTTTTCTGTCTACAAATAGGTGGCTTAGGGTGCCCACATTTCCAAGTCTCAAAATGGAACAACCTGAAAAGTGTTGGGGAGCAGGAGGGGATTACCTAAGTGCTTCCTTTTCAAAGGTCCTCCTGAAGCATTATGCCCCCTTTCCTCCCCGCTCTAGCATACCCAGCTGACTCCAGGCTCCTCTCTCAGTGGTGCGCAGTGGAGGGTGAGAGGGCAGAAGCATTTTAAAGTGATCCAGCTGAGGGCACAGGGCAGGGGAGCAGCTGCACATCTGAATAGGTGCTTCTACACGTTATTAATGTGAAGCAATAAAATCCAGCACAACTTGCACCGGAGTTTACTGCTCCTGGGAACAACGTTTGCACATGTCCCCAGTGCTATAGCACACTGAGCCCTGGCATGGGGCCCCAGGGGTCAGCCTGCCATCCTGGGACTGCTCCGACTTAGCTCAACGTGCTGTGGAGGGACTGGCTGGGGCACAAGGGTGCTACACTGTGGGTCTAGCCATCAGGCAGCCTCCACACTGTAGCACCCTCATGCCCCAGCCAGCCCCATCACTGTCTACATGTGTATCATAGTGGAGTATATAACTCCACCATAGGATAGTTTCATAGTTGTTAGGGGCTGGGACCTCACAGATCATTGGGTCCAGCCCCCCCTACACTTGGGTAGGAAACACCTCTGGGATCAGATGACCCCAGCAAGATGGGCATCAAGACGCTTTTTGAAGATCACTAGGGTGGGTGACTGCCCCACCTCTGGGGGGAGCCTGTTCTTGACTTGTAAACAAGGTTTTCCTTATATCTAGCCTGAAGCAATCCTCAATCATCCTGTGCTTGTTATTTCTTGTCCTCTCCTGGTGAGCCTTGGTGAACAAATGCTCCCCCAGCCCCTGATGTACGTCCCTAATATACTTACAGGCTGCCACCAAGTCCCCTCTGAGTCTTCTCTTCGCCAGGCTGAACAGTCCCAAGTCCCTCAGCCTTTCCTCGTATGACCTCGTTTCTAGGCCTCTAATCATGCGCGCAGCCCTCCTTTGGACTCTCTCAAGTTTGTCCACATCCTTCCTGAAGTGCGGTGCCCAGAACTGGATGCAGAACTCCAGCTGCGGTCTCACCAAGGCCGAGTAGAGAGGGAAGATGACATCCTTAGTCTTGCTTGAGATGGCTCATTAGATGCACGCCAGTGTTTTTTTAGCTCTACCAGCTATGGCATTGCATTGGTGGCTCATGTTCATTTTGTTGCCTATCACAACACCCAGGTCTTGTTTAAATGTGGTGCTAGCAAGTGTAGCACTGCTGAGCCTGTAAGTGTGTTGTGGATTATTTCTCTCCAGATGGAGCACTTTACATTTTTTCATATTAAACAACATCAGGTTGAGGTCCACCCACCTCGCGAGCCTGGCCAGCTTAGCCTGTATTGCCAGCTTGTCTTCAAGTGTGACCACACTCTCCCATAGTTTGGTGTCATCAGCGAACTTTGCTAGTCTGCTTTTAATACCCGAATCCAAACTGTTGATGAACACATTGAAAAACACTGGCCTGAGTACTGAACCCAGGTTTGGTAAGTGGTGAACTACCCTCTTAGAGGGTCACAACCTTTAATGGCAGAATCCTCTGAGTTAGCTAATCCCCTCCTTTCCTCTCTCCAAATTCCCCCAAAGGTTAATGTTGTATAGACACACTGGGTCATGGAGAAAGGCAGTCTGTACAGGTTTCAGGAAAGAAATGGGGGGACTTGGACAGGAATCTGCAGAGTCCTGGTACAGCTGATGAACAGTAAGAATAGTAAAAAATGTATGGGTATGGCTGTTGGGTGGTGGAGACAGTGTGCAACCAGATTAGTTGAGCAGACCATAGAGAAGACCAAGGAGACAAAAGAAGCTGCACAGACCATAGAGCACTGGAAATCACTGGCTAGATCATCAGGCTCAAAGGGCAGTAATCAGTGGCTCGTTGGCAGCTGGTATGAAGGGGAGTGACCCAGGGGTCAGTCCTGGAGCCGGTTTTGTTCAATATCTTCATAAACAACCCGGATGATGGCACAGAGCGCGCCCTCAGCAAGTGTGCACATGATACCAAGCTGGGGGGAGAAGTAGATACGCTGGAGGGTAGGGCTATAGTACTTGTGTCGTGCAGTAGTCCCTATGGTGGAGTTAATTAGTCTACTCTGGCCTAACAGCACTGCACATGTAGACAGTGATGATTTACTGTGGAGCTAATTCGTAAGGTCCACAGTAAAGCATTTCGTGTGGATGTGCCCAGTGATACAGAATCTGAGCAGTACTGAATAATTCTGTTTTTGAAGTGCTACAAATTCCTGCAGGGTTTGAATCGTTTCAAATGCACATCTAAACATGCCCGAAGAAGTTTATGGAGGTTTCTGAAAATGGGAAAACAGCATTCATTTGAGAAAGTGAAGCCTGGAATAGAGACAAAAAATATCCTCACAATGAATATTACACTCTAGTTTTGTTAATTTTCTCATATTTCATAGTGAAAGTTCTAGCACGTGCCTCTCTACATGGCTATACTGTTGGTGATTAATGTAGTCATTCCAAATCCATGCTAATAAAGATCCACACATAATCTTGCATTCTCTCTGTAGCTTTTATTCTTTCCTAAGATTTAATAACCTCCCTCACTCCCGCACACACACGCATTGCCAAATAGCTCAGGGATTATTAATGGAGACAGGAGCTTTTTACCTATACATCACAAGTTCAGATGCAGCCCCAGTCTGTAATAACGGAAAGTTGTTACCAAGCGATGACTGTTCAGGGACTTTTATGAAACAAGCTTGGTGAACTTTGCCCAGTTCCTGCTAGAAAGGTGTCAGCATCACATCCTATGGCTGCAATTTGGAGCCTTGTTAACAACCTCAGCAAGTTTTGAATAGACATGATAAAAAAGGCCTTCCAGTATCATCTTATCCCTAGACAGAGTCAAGGCACACTGGCAGGGCAGTGTGTGAGAACCTTGCACTCCTGCTACCCACATTGTGTCCAATCTAGCACTGCATTCACATTTTTAAAAGTGTTCAGAGAAAATAAACACAGAAAATACCTGCCACTTGGACAGCCCATTTGTTTAAAAGATTTTACCATATTGAGGGCAGCAATGAGGCTCGGGCAAGCATTGTTTGGCTACCAGGGGCTTAGCTACCACACAGTCTAGTCCTGCTCTGAACTGAGCTCAGGAGGTAAGTAGGAGCACTCATGGCTGATCTGCTTCACTTCTCCCATTGTTGCTGTCACCGACAAAGCTCTATCCAAGGCAGCGCAATGGAGAGCAGCCCATTTCAAGTAGCCTGTAATTGTTTCCACATCTTAAAGAAATAACCCTTCAGACGCACGTTTTATCTCTGAAGTTTCCACAGTCCAGCTACCCTCTGCTTCTCAAGTCACTTCACTATATCCAGAAAATTACCCAGAATTGTACCATACAATGTACCCCTGTTTATACTCATGCAGTGTCCAATCCTAGGCCCCCTCACTGTTCATTGCAGGACCACAGCTGTAATAGGTAACACAGAGATGGAAAGTTGTAAATAAAGAGATAGACAAGAAAGATATCGCAGATGGCAGTGACTGGTGCAATTGTCCCTCTGCTGTAGAAGGGACAACCGAGACCCATTCTGTGAACTCTTCCATATCCTAGATAAAACGCTTATATGAGTGCCGTATTAAATAGAAAGACAGCATGGTTCTGAACAACATCAACACCTAGCACTTTTCAGAGTGCACCATAACTATCCACTCAATACACAGAGGATCTCTGTCAACTCAGTATATATCACAGGTGGAGCTAGTAACATCACCTATTATTAGGGCTGAGGATAACCACAATAAGATGCTGGTTTCTGTTACTGCCAAATTTTTAATCAGTTGAGCAAAGGAAGTCTCATCGTTGTGTGTTCTTACTTTCTGGGTGCTCAACTGGAGACCCTTTGGTCTGCTTTGCAGAAATAATGAGTGCTTACAACTGCAGTTGAAGTCAGCGGTGGGAACTGAGGGTATTGGCGTGTATACACGTATAATGCTAAGTTTGCTGAACACTATATCATAGGTGTCTCAAATTAGGCACTCAAAATTAGTGCTTACTTTTGACCTTAGTGTCTTTGCATCTCAGTACACCACCTGTATAAAAAGGAAATAACAATGATACCCCCTTCATCCAACAGTATTACAAAGTTTGTTGAATGCTTGTAAAGGCAGATGACCACCATAAAAAAATCCCATGACGAAATGAATCTTTCTGTTTTCAGAGCAATATGCAGTAAATGCAGCATGGGGCCCACACTCAACAAGGAGGAAGCAAAATACTGAATAGCTGCCTGCTTAGTGAGCACAGTCCTTTCCGAGGCAGGGTTCCCATGGACTGGTACATGGCTGTATAATTCAAGACCATCTCGGACTGTGCACATACAAGGAGCTGAAGTAAGGCTGGATAGCCAGCTTCAATTCTGGCATCCCGCAAATTTTAGTGCTTGCCTTTGGTACCTTAATAACTTTCTTTTCCCAAAGGTTCTTCTTTGTGTGTTATTAACAGAGGACTCTAAAATATATCCTGGAGCCCAGCCATTCATACTGAGTCCAGGGCTCATTGGTAGCTGGCATGGGTATTAGCAGCTATTTCTAATGCTGGCTCCACCCTAGTTTCACTGAGTGGCCTCAAGGACAGGCACATCACCCCACTGTGCCTCAGTTTCTCAAATTGCTGACTAATGCTTATTGACTGTATTGTGCAGGGATGAGCATTAATTAGTTTATCACAGGGGTGGGCAATTATTTCACGCAAAGGGCCGCTTACTGAGTTTTGGCAAACTGTCAAGGGCCGTAAGAGTAGCCCCACCTGTTGGCACTTGCCCCGCCCCCTGGTCACCATCTTGGGTTCAGAAGTCCCACCCTCTAGCCCCTGACCTTTGCCACCAGAAGTCTCTCCCTTTTCACCCCAGAAGTACACCTTTCAGCAAGGAGGTTTGCCACCTTGAAACCAGAAAAATACCAAATTATATTCCCAAAACCAATCATGTACTATAACAGGGGTTCCCAAAGTTACTATGCCACAGCCCAGCAAACCACGACCCAGAAGAGGCCACAACCCGGCAAACTGTGGCCCAACAGTCACAGCTGACCGTGGCTGGAATTTCCGGCTAGAAGACAGGTAAGGATACCCCTATGTCCCGGGCAGGAGGGTGGGCCAAACCCTGCACTGCCATGGGCCCTGGAGAAGAAGTTGCGGCCTCTCCGCCCGGCTGTGGGGGGTCACGGTTTTCCAGTCCACGGCCACTTCTGATCAGGCAGGCAACCATGCTGCAGACCAGCAGTCAACCCACCATGGCCTGGCACCGGTTTGCAGCCCAGGGATTGAGAACCCCTGTATTACAACATTCATTAATTTCATTTCAAAAAATATTTTTGTCCTGATTTACATGTGTTTGTATAGTGTAGATAGAGGTGATTATATAATAGCTTAAAATGATGTCTTACTCTTGCATAATATGGAGCAGTATGGGGGTGGGTATAGGTTTGTTGAGGGCTGTGGGTATGTGGGGTGTGGGAGAGGGTATGTGTGTGGGGGGAGTTGTGGGGGGATGGATAGGTGGGGAAGTGTGGGTAGGGTGTGTATATGTGGGGTGGGGGAACATGTGAGTATGTGTGGATATGGGGTGTGGGTGAGTATGGGGTTTGTGGGGGGATGTAAGGAGGGTGGCTGGGGAGGGTTGCAGCATGTGTGGAGGGGATAGTTTCCCCACAGCCCCCACCACAGCAGGCAGAGCTCCCACCAGTGCTTCTCCAAGCCTGGGCTCCACACTCCTGCTGCTCCTGGCACCAGCACAGGCCCCGTGCTCCCATTCACCGCCACTTCCCCCTCCCATCTGCTGGCTCCTTCTGAGTCCTGTGACCCAGCACTGCAGCCAGGAACCACGTGGTGCCAGAACAGTAGGTAGGGGGTGTGGAGAATGGCAGCAGGCAGGGAAGCAGAGAAATGGCAGTCGCAGGCAGTGGGGGAGTGGCAGTGAGCAGGGACACTGGCACGTGGTCCCCCACAGCTGGGCAGAGAGGCCATGGCTCCTTCTGCAGGGCCCAGGGCAGGCAGGAGCACGGGGCCAATGCCAGTGTCCCGGGGCCAGTGCCGGCAGGGCCCAGAGTGGGGCAGCAGGAGCTCAGGGCCCAGGCCCCCAGGGGCTGTGGAGCCAAGCCAGTTCCCTGGTCTTTCTGCTGGCTCAGCCTGGTCCGGCTCCAGAGAGCCCCTGCAGCCGTGCTTCTGCTGCCCTGCTCTGGGCCCCCACTGGTGCTGGTCCTGGGACACCAGAATGGGCCCCACGCATCTGCTCACTACTACTCCCCCATCACCTCTCGCTCCCATTTCCCCCCTTCCCTGCCTGCTGCCATTCTCTGCTCCCCCACCCCCCCGCCACATGTGCTCCAGCACCATGTGGTTTCCAGCTGCAGCACCAGAACCACAGGAGCTAGCCCAGCTGTGAGGACTGGGGCAATTGCCCGGGGTCCTTCTCTGCTTCCCCTCCCCCTGTTCTTATTTGAGTTTCCCTCTCCCACAAAGGGAGGCAGGAACAGCCCCAGGGTCCCAGGCCAGAAGCCTCTGTTAGGCAGAGGCTTCTACCTGGGGGTGGGTTGGGGCCAGCCTTGCTGTGGTTGCTGGGTCCAATTGACCCTGATGTCTTGTCATCTTTGAAAGGCAGCCAGGGCAAATAAATATTCATTTTCTAAATTTTTTAGGGACCCCATGGGCCAGATAGAATAGCCAGATCCAGCCTGTAGGCCATATTTTGCCTGGCCCTGATTTATCATCAGATGCACATTCCATTACGTTATAAGGGTTGGTATATTAGCAGTTCCAATTACACAGTAAGGAACTGTAAAGAACCATCAAAGAGCTGCAGGTTCAGTGATGTACATTTGTGCAGACATTTTTGCAACATGTACTGATTTTCTATAACTTCTGCATTCTGAGTATTAAACAGATCATTTATGTTCATGGTGTCATTGTCTAGCACCAGCACTTCATTGTCTCAGTGAAACACTGTGGCCTTATTAGAGCTAACTACAGACAGTCAAAATGCCTGAGGCTGAATTGATTCAGTTTTTGTGGGTTAGTCTAAGCTGCAAAGGTTGAATCAATAAGAAAATAAACAAACATTCACTTTTGATTCAGGAAATGTAGCCACATACCTGCAGTGGCTCAAGCCAGAGACTGGAGGGCACTAAAGCATGGCTCTCTGGCATGTAGCTAGCATAGGCTATGTGTTCACCCCCTCTTCCGACTGCCCCCAAGGTCTCTGGGATTTGCAGCCCAGATCCACAACAACAGGACTCTGCAGGGTTGCTCATCACTTCTTCTTTCTGCTTCCAGGTACCTCTGGGATTTGTAGTCCACAATCACAGCCAGCGCTAAGTAAGCATGTCAGGGCATCTCCATGCTTGGGGGAAGGGAAATTTAACCCTCCTCCCTGGGCCTAGACCCCAGAAGAGCTTTGCTGGGGGAGGGAGCAAGTGAGCCAGCCCCCACTGCTCCATCTAGGGAGCAGAGGGGTGGAGCCAGCCCTGCTCTCTGGAGCAGACAGCCCAGCCAGCCCATGGCTGCAAAATGATGAGATGCCAGGGGACTCTGATTTAACTAGGAAGGGGTCTGGGACAAAAGTTTCATAAAACGGGTTGATCTAAATCAGTTAAGTAAGATACTACATTCAACCAGGTTTATCTTAAACCAGTTTCAGCCATTTTAAAACTGGTTTATGTGCACTGAACTTCTATTCTGTTACAGGTTTAAATCAGTTTCTGATCACTTAAACTGGTTTATGTGTAACTTCTGTCCTTGCCACAATGTCTCTCTTTAGGGTCCTGTTATGATTCATTCAGAGTGGGCATTTGGATGTCAAAAATTAACCAGGAGCTATAGGCCTACCAAGGTTTCTAAAGCCTTCTGTGTGCTCAAGGGCTCATGCTGCTGATGCTAACCTTTTTACACTAGGTGCCCAGGCTTATCCTATTACCGTGATGGCAGGTGGACAACCTTAGAGTCATTCTGGTGACTACACAAAGTTTGTTTGGATAAACCTAAAGGGCTATTTGCAGTGTAAATAGGATACTATGGAAATCCAACAGCCTCGGTCCACCCACAAAGATTACTTACCTAAATGCTTCTGATAAATAGAGGAAGAGGTTATTACATCTTTACCAGGGGATTCCATTGTGTTCATCTTTTGAAAGAGTCCCCCAAGTTTCAAGGGGACATCTTTCTCAGATATGAAATTCTTCATTGTGCTACTGCGCTGCTGCAGTTGTTTCTCGAGCAGAGCCAGCCCACTCCCCTCTGAGGATGTCGACTGTGACCATCCTGAAGTCTTTGAAGCTGTGGATATAGCCCTCAGAAAATATAATGATGACAAAACAGATGGCAACCAGTTTGCTTTGTACATGGTGACGGATGCCCAGCGAACAGTAAGTACACTTCGCAAAAAAGCATTGTGGAACATGTTCACTTACTTGTCTATGCCAAATTCAGCCCACCTCCCTGAGGACAGGTAGCATCTTGCCCTGCAAGTAGTTGTAGTGAAATCAAATTAAATCTTTTGTATTTAAATTCTCTTCTATATAAACTCCCTGCTTTCTCCAAGTCCATTCATAGCATCTGATGAAGTACGCTGTTGCCTACAATAGCTGCCTTCTGCAGTGAAATCAAAGGAAGGGATTTTAGAGTAAAGCACTAGTCAGCATGAATAAAGGCAAAGAAGAGGCTTCCTTCTGGAGCTCTAATAATTATAGGCCAAACTGTGAAGCCTTACACTTACACTGGTGAGCAATTCTTGTCAGCAAAATCAAGTGTGCTAAAAACTACTCCCTAATATAAGAGACTCACAATCTGCCCTCAAAACAGTCTTAATTCTTGTCAATGGAAGCAGGAGAAGTCTAAAGTACCGATGGGCTACATAGTAGGGCTGTGCGAAGCTTTGGGTGATGATTCGATTTGGAGGAGATTCAGCCCGATTCGGTAGCCGAATCTCCGAATCCGGATCGAATCAGGACACCATTTTAAAGGTCCAAATCAATTCAAAGCTCTCCAAATCTTCAGAAAAGATTTGGAGAGCTTTGATGATTCGGGCAGTCCCCGGTGGCTGCAGTAGGGAGCTGCAGCCAACTCTGACCTGGTAAGTATTAGGGGCGGGGGAGAGGGGCTGGGGGAGGAGACCATGGG